GTTAGGCATTCTCCAGCTCTTTGCAATCTCAGCTTCATTCCCATTTGTGAGCAACTCCAATACCTTTAATTACACAATACAAAATTACAAACTCAAATCCATTTAAATTCGATTTTTGGACCGTTTGGTTCTAATTATTACTATTGATATCGAATATGTAACATACCTGAGTCATGGTTGGTCGTAATATCGGCGATTGTTGAACACAATGTGAAGCTGTAAGGACAAGCCTATTCATCTGTTGTACGTCGTACTTATCTTCCAATTTTGGATCAACCAACTCTCTTGTTTTACCTCTCTCCATTGATGGTTTCGCCTGTTCATCATTAACTTTTTCATCAACATAACAAAAAGCAAAAACTTGGCTATGTTATAGTAAAAAAGTTAGTGGTCAAAAAGTCAGCGAGGGGAGTCTCTAGATCAAGCATAGGGTTTCATTTCGTGTCTTAGAAGGCAAGCAAGTAGGTGGGCTAGAGTTTTATACCCATAAGAGAATGTGTTTCTGTGATGGATTAACTGGTCTTCTTCCGGTTATGATCTCTAGGAGGAGAATACCAAACGCGTAGATGTCGGTTTTCTCGTCGACGGTTCCTTGCATTAAAGACTCTGGTGCAAGATAACCAAACGTTCCTTCAACCGGTATAACCGCATGGTGAGTCCATTTGTTAGGCAACCATTTCGCCAATCCAAAATCAGTTATCTACACAATGATAATCACATTCAATTTCCATACATATATAGACCGGATCCGAATTGCTTTCATGACAAGAAAGCTCACCTGCGGTTCATAATCAGGTCCTAGTAAAACATTGGAAGATTTGATATCACGGTGAATGATCCGGTGGCTGCAACGTTTGTGAAGATAATGAAGCCCACGAGCAACTCCAACCGCAATCTTGTAACGAATAGGCCAATCTAGCGACCCGTTCTCCTTCTCTGTTTCCGATTTTCGCAATATAAAATACAAAAACAATGTCAAAACTATATACATTGTCTTTAGAACAAGATTATGATAATTACATTACCAAACTGATCTGAAGTTAGATTACCGTGCAATGCGGAGTACAAGTTTCCATTCTCGGAGAATCGGAAGACAAGATAGAGACCTCTCTCAACACA